ATATATATATATATATATATATATATATATATAGACCAAATTGACAAAGACCATGCAGAATAATGTAGTTTTAAGCTATGTAGTTTCTGTAAGTAGGTCTAGAAAAACAATATCGGTATTGGTATCGGTTATCGGCCAAATAAGTTTAAGCAAATCAAATATCAGCCAAAAATCCAATATCGTGCAACCTTTTGCTATTTAACACTTCAATTCTGATTATATTAAATTGCACCATTTAACTTAAAATTAAAATCAAATTTTGTGTTTTTCTTTTGACTCTAATCTTATTTTAGTTTCAAAACAATAACTCAGAGGGCATGATTGGCAGTAGCTAGCAGTGAGATCATCCACTCTGTGTTACATATACTTATGCCCTCTATTTTATATGAAATAGATATTTTCCCATTTTTATGTCCATATCAAAATATCCCCAGGTGAGATTTAGTTATGGGGTACAACAGAAAATATCATAGAAGTCTTTGCCATAATCTTGTACCTTATTTTATTTATTTATTACTTTCTTGAGCATAACAGAATAAGTGGAGGAAAGTAAGAATATCTCAGGCTTGCTGGAACCTGGCAAAGCTTATGCAACACCATGCAATGTTCAGCACTGAGCTGATAAGAGAATACAAACCCACTCTCTTATCATAGTGGCAGTTTTTGGCTCTTAACTAGGTCAAGGTCTGGACACCGTGTTAAGACATGTAAATGCGGTTAATCTTATCTTGGCCTGAGGATATTTTGGTGCTTATAAACTAAAGTGTATTATTAAGTATTGGGGAGGGGGTAGCTCACTCTTAAGCATCTGTGTGGAAAAATTGTTCAGTTTTCTGCACGTATAGACTGAAAATAGCCTCAGCATTATCAGACACGGTGGAGTCTGTCTTTTGTCTGCTGATGAGCTGTTTGGCTGTGGTTACCCTCTCATGCAGATGCATTTTTTTTTCCAGAGACGATCCACCCCTCATCAAGAGCCCCATAATCCCATTTAGTGCAATTATCTTATCTCAGGTTCTCAATGGCTGAGATAGCATTATCCCCCTAATCGCACACAATCCAATTGGCTTGCAAAACCTGAGAGAGTCTTGTTCTCAGCTGCTGGCTGATGGTTTCTGCCAGAAAGATTACAACTGCATCATGAATGTGTTTATGGTTATGAATGTCTGTTGGGAAGCCAGTGTAGGGATTCCACACAAAAATAGAGGACTGTCTAACAAGTATTGTTGAGGACTAAAGTAGACTGTTGTGAAAATATCAGTCTCGTTCCAGCGTCTGGTTTTGTGTCCCTAGTTGACCTTATGCACTGGTCCTCCTGTCAGTCAGCAATTATGAACCACATCTCTCCGTGGAAACCCAAACTAATGTCTTGCATCACTGTATGCTAGGTTTGAGTTCCTATAGTGCTTTAACGTGGTATTTCTTTCTTTATTTGTTTTTTCAGTATCATCGAAACCAAAGGAACCAAGGGCCATTGTGGTGGCGCCTGACTGCAGCGCTCCTCAGCCTTCTGTTTGATAGGGGGTTCATTGCTGGAGGAGGGGTTGCAGGATGGAGGTGAGGGGGGATCTTCCATTTCCATACCTTCATCTCAATGAGAAACTGGACTCATATTCGCACTGTCAAATTTAACACGGGTCTGTTTGGTAGAGGAAAGTAAGGAGACAAAAAGGTCACCGCGGGACGGCGACAACCAACATTTATACAAGGTGTTTTTTTTCTTTTTGAGAAGATGCCATGATATTCCGAAATTCCTCTAAAGGACAATGTTCATATTTCGGCCCACATGTGATGTAGTTTTGTACAGTACATTGTTCTTGTTCAATTTTTTGCACTTCAGCATATATCCCTGTCAAATGACCTCTGCATACCCTGGGAATGCCTTATTCAGTGTCTTCTGCCAGAAGGAGAATTGTACATTTTAGACAGGCAAGATGAGATGGTTAAGAAATGAAAGAAAATGTTTCTTTTCTGAAGTCTCCCTGGTGACCACTCAAGTTGATTTACTAATTTCCAAAGAGGCCACGTCTCAGAACAAAGCATTTTGCACCTCACTTCAATGGAACATTATTCTTTTTTGCTTCTTATTTTGTTTTGTCTTTTTTCTATTTCCTCTGTTTTCTTTGTTTTAATGTCAAGTTTGACCCTTAGTATCTTATAGAACATTGGTAATGAGGATAAGTTTCTGTACATAAAAAGCTTGGCGCACTGTGAATTATCATCTAAATGGTTTTTAATATGCACAAACATTGAGAAGCAGGGCTATTTTTAGTCGTGTGCTACATGTCAAATATTTGGGAATTTTTTGAAGAATGGGGTGGAGCTGGCAGTCACCCTCTGGTCTAACAAGCCTGGTGACTGCCTGTAAACCTGACAAACATCAAAACGGAATTGAGGAAAAAATATCAAACCATGTCTGCACTTTGTTACATGAAATGACAAGAGTACTGAGCAATGACAAACAACCCAGTAACAGATAATTAACAGTAAACTCATAAATCATAAAAATACGGCAGTGTCAAGCAAATAATTGAACTACGGATGTGCGATATTGGATTTTTGGCCGATATCCGATATGCCAATATATTAAAACTTATTTGGCTGATACCAATACTGATATATTTTTCTCTAGACCTACTTACAGAAACCGTAGCTTTCTCTGCTGTGGAATTAATATACTACATTATTCTTAATGTTCTTTGTCAGTTTGGCCTGATACCAAATGCAGATGCCAAAAAGAGGGCTGAAAATGATGTAACACTTCAACTTGGTTTATGTTTAATGTCAAATTTATTCATGACATTTACTCTCTCTAACACAATGACAACACTCGAACAGTGCAAATTTGTAAATTTTCACAAATCTAAACTCAACGTGTGACGTCAGAACGTGCTGGCGCTGCAGGCATCCTTGTCACTGGGTTGTCATACAAAAACAGCACCTTTTATACATTTCTCAGACCCTTTCCAGAAAATTTGAATATCATGGAAAAGTTGTTAACTTCCATAATTCCATTCAAAAAGTTAATCTTTAATAGATGATAGATGCAGGGCCCACACTTTAAACAATTTCAAGTATTTATTTGATTATTTTTACATAATTTGGGCTTCCAGCTCATGAAACCCACAAAAACAGGATTTCAAAAAAATTTGAATACTGTGAAGAAATCAGCCCACACGACTTAGTTTTTGCAGAAAAAAAAGAAAGAAGTTAGGATCACAACAAATCAATCAAAATATGGTACTTTAAAACGATATGCCAATCTTCAATAATTGGTTGGGAATCCCTTTGACTTAATCACTGCCTCGATGCGACGTGGCATTGAAGCAATCAATCTGTGGCATTGACTGGGAGTTATGGAAGCCCAGATTTCCTTGATGCTTGCTGTCCGCTCTTTGTTGTTGGGTCTGGTGTCCCTCATCTTCCTCTTGAGAATACCTCATAGATTCTCAACGGGGTTTAGGTCCGGCGAGTTGGCTGGCCAGTCAAGCACTGTGGCATGGACAGCAAACCAGGCTTTGGTGCTTCTGGCGGTATGGGCAGGGGCCAGGTCCTGCTGGAAGATGAAATCTGCATTTCCATACAGATCCTCAGCAGAAGAAATCATGAAGTCCTCTAAAACATTCTGGTGGACTGTTGCGGTGACCTTGGATTTAAGAAAGCAGAGTTTACCCAACACCTGCACTGGACATTGCACCCCAAATCATGACGGACTGTGGATATTTCACACTGGACCTCAAGCAGTATGGGCTCTGTTCCTCACCCTTCTTCCTCCAAACCCTTGGACCTTGATTTCCAAATGAAACTAACACTTTACTTTCATTGGAACAGAGGACAGAGGAACCCAACAGTTGTAGTCCATCTCCCGGATGCGTCTGAATGTGGTGGTTTTTGAAGCTGTGACTCCAGCCTCATTCCACTCTTTCTGGATCTCTGCCAGATTATGGAATCTTCTCTGTTTGATAATCCGCTGAAGCCCACAGTCATCTCTTTGGCTGGTGCATCTTCTCCTGCCGCATTTTGCCCTTCCACTAGACTTTCCATTGATATGCTTGGACACAGCACTCTGTGAACAGCCAGCCTCCTTAGCTATGAACTTCTGTGGCTCACCCATCCTATGGAGGGTATCAATGATGGTCTTCTGGCCAGTTATGTCTGCAGTCTTCCCCATATTGAACCGAACTGAGACAAATGAACCAAAATGAAGCAATTTAATGACACCTGGGGAAACCTGTGCAGATGTTTTGAGTTTAGTAGATGATTAGTGAGTCACACTCAGTTTAAAACATTCATGCCCTGCAACATTTGGGCTGATTTCTCCACAGTATTCTAATGTTTTGAAATCCTGTTTTCGTGAGTTTCATGAGCTGGAAGCCCAAATTATGATTTTAATTCAATGTTGCTGTCCTACTTGTTCAGGGTGTTTTGTTTTTGTGGTGCAGCTGCCATCTATCTAATTAATCTAATGTGTATTACTAACAGCTTCATGTATTAAGTTATGTAAAAAAAAGTAGCACAACAAAAAGACTTTATATCAAAATCATGGAGTGCTGATTTTTGGATGCATACACAAAACCGTTCAGGGTTTAGCATCATGCACTAAATAAGAGCAAAAAGGAAAATCAAGCACACCGTTTGAGCAAATTTCACCTAAAATGATTCCATCGTTCTCATCAGCCATATAAAAGTTTAATCATATTCCTTAGAGTTTAGCTTTACTAGATAGTCAGTTTTTAGTTTAGCCTTCTGCTCATTGCCTGATTTTTGTGTTTTTGATTTGCGTCTTTTTTTTCTTCATGTGATTGTTTTCAGACCTCCATGCCCTTCAAGTGGAACTATGGATCCACTGTTTTTGCACTAGACTTCCACCCTTCAAGAGTTCAGATTGTTACCAAACTAATCTCTATCTTGTATGAAGGTTTTCAGTTTCAACTTGTGTCCTTGCCGCGACATTTCACCCCTTTTCCCAAGACAAAGAATCAGTATTGATTGAGCATAGTCTGGATTTGATATCAGTTCTGGAAATTTCACTTAACCACTGTTTCAGGCTAAAGAAGAAAAATAATTCAAAGTTGTTTTTTTATTTTTTTTAAATTTTAATTGTTTTTCACAGCAGGCCAGATCTGAACACCGAACAAGATGAAGTAACCAATCTGTGAAACAGAAGCTCCTCTTATGATACGTTTCTTTTAATATATTTTTAGTATTTTCTGTTGGGTGATCTTTTATTCTCTTTAGTGCTTGGGTTCAGCACACAACCACCACTGGCTCAGAGAAACGATCTGAAACAAAACTATAAAAGACTGTAATTACTGTTGAAATATGAATATGTTTAAAGACACTGTTGAAGATGCTGTTGATTTTGTTATTTTATGGCTTTTCTTTTGGACCCGAGGAGCAGTACATATCAGGGGTCTGTAATTACTTGCTCCTTACAGTGTATCAAGTGTATCACTGCATAATTAGGATTTTCTCTCATTTTCTCTTAAGGTGTCTCAGGGACAGACTTTTTGGGCTACTGGTAACCTTGAGAATCTGTTACACGGTTAGAAGTAAAACAGTATTGTCACCTTTTGACTGGTTGTCGAGTCTGTTGCTTTCGTTTCTCTTACGGATCTTCTAGGCCAATTTCCAGCACGCACGTATTAGTTCATGTTTGAGGAGCCTGAGGCTGACTTGTTGGCTGTGGTGGTGATAGGGGCTACTGAGTTTGCAGTCAGAGGCGTGTGAGGTGCACTGAATGTGGTTGTGGTAATAGTTTCCTGCGGATCCTGAACGCTGAGCCAGTCCCCGTAGCACCTCGTCTCACCACCGCCTCTTGACTTCCTCTTCATGCCTCTCCTTCAGGGCGTGGCGTTTATTCATTATCTCACTTTGTTTTAATATATTGTTTCCTTTTTTTATTTATATTTGTATACTTACCTATTTCTACTGTATACGCTTGTGTGTGCAATCACCTCTTCCTTTTTCTCTGCTTTGGTCTTGGACTTTTACCTGGTCCAGTTAACTGTGCAGAGCAAGCTGGTTGTCATTGTGCCTGAACATGCATCTCTTGTTTCTCAAAGGCTGAAGAAGAAGGGCTCTCTGAATTATGCTACAATTAATTTCAACTGTGGCAAATATTGACCACGAACACGATGCGAGGTCTGCACAAACCCTCTGCTTCTGGCCAGAGCAAAACTTGTTACTGTTTGAATACACTGTTGCCATTGGGTGGAGTGTTCACTCCAAAGGTCGGGATGGTTTTAGGAATGGGGCCAACAACTTTAGACCTTTTTAAAAACTATTATTATTTTTAGCCCCCAGATTCACAATATACGTTTTTATAAATGCAGTAGCCTAAATGCAGTTCAATCTTGGACCTGATCACTGATCACAATTTGACAAGAAGACCTGATGCAGTTCCAGTGGTTCCCAACCCTGGTCCTTGAGGAACACCGTCCTACATGTTTTACTTGTTTCCCTGCTTTGACGCACCTGATTTGAATGAACGGGTGATTCATGGGCTTCTGCAGAACTTGAGGAAGCAATTAAATTACTGAATCAGGCATGTTGGAGCAGGAAACAACTGAAACATGCAGGATGGTGTTCCTCAGGGACCAGGGTTGGGAACCACTGGATTCTACACAAATCACAGAATGTTTTTTTTTTTTTTCTGTCCATTTATTTCTTAATCAATGTGTTGTAATCAGTATGCACTGGAAAGTACTTTGTTTCTGTAAATCCCATAGGGCTTTTATCTGTTGTGTGTTGATGTATAGTATATACTCTGAATTGTTCTCTTGGGCTATTCTTGCCACATGTCAGCTGTATATCTGTGCATTGATGGAAACAGTTCAGGTATGATGGCCTGTTGATTTATTGGAAAGGGAAACAAGCCACCATGGTGCTCTTCAATATTGTTTAGCATGAGGTACCTAAACTGCACCCGTATTTTACACGAGTTCAGCGTTCCAAGAGTGGAACAGGGTACTTTATGGGAACCACCAGTGTCTTGAATTTGTTGCCCACTTTATATAATGAAAGACGCTTTTTTGG